CCCTTGGCTGAGGCAGGAACTCCTGGTGAATGGAGCACAGACGGAAGCAGATGGCAGATATGGACCAGGCTTCAGCAGACGGACCAGCCAGCCAATCGGAAGACACCATCTGCCCATCCTCTCAGCTGAGAAGACATGGAATCAACTTTTTTTTTTCTTGGCAACATGTGCTTTCGGGGAATTCCTGGTTTGCTTGGAAGAAACCAATACTTTCACCGTATTTTTGAGAATGTTAACCATGAAGTGGCAGGGAAAGGACTGTGAGGGTAAGCGTGTGTATGTACAGGGACCGTGAGGGTAAGCGTGTGTATGTACAGGGACCGTGAGGGTAAGCGTGTGTATGTACAGGGACTGTGAGGGTAAGCGTGTGTATGTAGCAGGGACTGTGAGGGTAAGCGTGTGTATGTAGCAGGGACCGTGAGGGTAAGCGTGTTATGTAGCAGGGACTGTGAGGGTAAGCGTGTGTATGTAGCAGGGACTGTGAGGGTAAGCGTGTGTATGTAGCAGGGACTGTGAGGGTAAGTGTGTTGTACGAAGGAGAGATTGTGACAGTAAGCATGTAGGCACGCACCCACAAAGTCTAATCATTTACTCTATGTGGCACTATTAGAGTCTAGACATTTTTATTAATTAATTATTTTTTATGAACATTGGCATTTGGCCTGCATGTATGTCCTCATGAGGGTATCTGGTCCTCTGAAACTGAGGTTACAGATAGATGTGAGCTGCCATGCAGGTGATGGGAATCAAACCCAGGCCCCCTGGAAGAACAGGCACTGTTCTTAATTGCTGAGCCACTTCTCCAGCCCCAGGAGTCTAGACATTTTTTAAAAAAATAAGTAGGTGCCCGTTTTTCTAGTTCGTAGTAGGAAGTGTGTCAAATTTGTCTCCAAATACTACTTTCTTCGAAGCCCACACTAACTTCTTTAACCTGTAAGACTAATACAGACCAGTGTCTCTGTCGGAGAGAAGCATGGATGGGAACCATCCCCTCACCTACTGTCCTGTGTCTACACCAGACAGCTCACAGGACGAAAGCCCTCGGTCCACTGCCGTCAGATGCATCTCTGGATGGCTGTGAGACTTGACGAGTTTGTGATTTGTCTTTTCTGGGACCCTGCTCTGAGGTTCTCAGATGTGAACATTATGGATGACACTATATGTTGTGATGTCAAAAGGTTGGGCATGCCTTCATTAGAAACTGAGTTCAAGGGAAACGAAAGGGCTGAGGGGTTAGAGGGGTCAGTCAGCAACTAATGTGCTTGCCTTACAAGCACAGGGACACTAGAAGTTTTTGCCCTAGGGACCTTTCCAGGATTAGAGGCACAAGAAATGGCGGCGCCGGCTAGTCTTCCTAATATCTGCTCCGAAATACCGACTCCTTAGAGTCTCCCCCACTTCTCAGAATTGTGGGTGTTCTTTGTTCCCTTATTACAAGAAATGGACAGTTTGGATTTTTCTGCCACTAGCCACCAAGAGACTGGGTTAGAGGAGACAGGCACGGCCGTCTTCAGGCAAATGAAACTCAGAATGCTGCCTCACGTCCCGTTGCAGCTTTCCAGACACAGCGGGAATCAAAGGCCGCGGTGGCCGTCTACGCAGGCAGATAGGCCTCAAGTGTGCAAAGCTTTATTATGTGAGGTGAGAGAATTGGCAGAGAAAAATCTCTACTCATGAAAAGTGATGAGAACAGCAGGGACGCGCGGGGCGGTCTGGGCCAAGAAGGCGAGCGTCTGTTTTCTTGAGCTAGCTTGTCTTCCTGTCAAGCGGGAACTGGTCCAGTATCCAAGGCCTACAGAGACCCATGCTAGGAGGAGCCGCACCTCCACCATTTGGTCCTACTGAAAATGAAGGCAGTCTATTTTTGACACCCAGGAGGAAAAGTCCAGAACCTTCCCTGGGAACAGCTTCCAGGGCTTTGCTAATAGGCCTGCAGTGTACGGAAATCCCTCTAAGTCCTCCTTAAGTTCTTCTCAACAGCACTAAACACATTGCTTTGTTTCGAGTTACGATCTGGCTAAGGAGTCCGTCTGGCCACTGTAAACTAGGCTGGTCTCAAGCCTTCTGAACGCAGAGATTACAGGAGCCATGTTCCCGTGTCTTCCGTTTGAATGCGGAGATTATAGGCATGCACCGCTTTCCCCAGCTCCCCTGCCCCACCCTTTACCCTTTCTGTCTCTTTCTATATGCTCCTGCAAATATGCATTCCAATCAGAAAAAGCTAATTTTAAAACAAGACAAGACTTGAGAAGTTGAGCCGAACACAGACATTCCTGATGTCCCAGCTTTGGCTACCAAGGCCTCAGGAAGACACTGACTCAGAAACACAGATGAGGGTGGCCTCTTACTCCAATGAAGGGTTTTGATTTTTTTTTTAGTCAATATGTCAGTATATATATATATATAAAGTTTCCATAAGGACACCCAGTATTTGTGAACTAACTAAAATATTGATAAAATGAACACACAAAGGTATGGAGTTGAGATGCCTGTGCCATTTAAAGCCCAGAGCTTGTTCCGCATGGGGTGGAGAACAGGACTGTAATGCTGAATAAAAGAATTTTGCGAGGAGGAAGAAAAATGCTAATGTTAAATTTGGCTTTTGTCCAATAGCTTTAGTCTAGTTTCTCCCAGTTACACTGAGGCCCACTCTGTCATGGCATTTGGAATCTTTCTATATGTGTGTGTGCACACATGTACACATGTGTATACTGTGTGTACTGAAGCGTATCCTAAGCAGTTGGTACTATGACAAGATGTCCTTCAAGGAAGCAAGAGGAAGATGCCTCTGGTGACACCACATGCTGGACATCAGCTGGGCACCATGGACACAGTGGTCACCACACGAGCCATGCTAATGAGGTGTGACGTGGGTTGTAAGGGAGGATCTCCAATCAGGAGCAGCTAAGTGCAGTCTCCAGAGGAATAGAGGGAGGGTCTGTGAAAGCCACTGGGTGTGGGGGGAGGATGGGGAAGGCTGTCCATGCTGTGAACTGTTTGTAGACTGAACAGAAATTAGCCATGTTCACGGGACAAGATACAGGAAGGCGGGAGTTCTAGGAAGACAGACTCAAATGGGAAAGCGTTTCCCACACAGGGTGGGGGAGCATGAGCTTCCTGATTGCCGAATGCAATACTCTTTTGACTTTAGAGGGTTCAAACTAATTGTTCTCAAATTATGTATCAGTAATTAAATTTTTCTTGGACAAGTCATCTCAGCTGTCTCCATTCATACTCTCCCAAGAGCGGCTTGCTAATCAGCAGTAACCGAGCTGCTATTCGTGATCTCATTTCCTGTTCCAGAAGGGTGGCTTCTAAGCCCCCAAGCTTGGATTTCAGAAAGGCATGCGAGACACACCCCACAGACCATTTCGCTATAAACTCCTCCACAGATTCCTAGCAACCTCAAGGGCCAAATGTCAGCAAGTGGAAGGCTCCTCGACTTGAAAAATTACAGTTCAAGGTACATTTCCCCTGTAATGTCTCGCTCAGCCAAATCAGCTCACGGGCTGTAGGCCGTGGAGTCCAGCCTAATGAGGGCGCGGTCTAAAACGCGGGCAAGCTACACACGACGATAAGGTAATCACAGCACTTATTTGTAATAGTGGGAAAATTGTAAGGCAGAAAACCAGCAACCTTAAATGCACCTAAATGGGGGAGTGATTAGATAACAGTGATGTATCCATTTCTGGAATTTATTCAGCTCTTAGCAGAGATAACAATTTACCATGACATCGGAAACGCGAGGAAGGACACAGATCGTGGGAAAATAAAGCACATGGCATTGTGTGTATATTAAAACTGCAACTCTGCAACATATATAAATAAGACAATGCCGGAGAGAAATCCCGTCAGCACAAGAACAATAACCGCTGTGTGTGTGATGCGATTATGAGTTCCCAATTTCCTGTAACACATTTATAACGGCTTTGTTATTGGAATCCTGTTGAAAGCACGAACTCTTAAAGTTCGTAATTGGGTCATTTTTCAAGGGCAAGCAGCAAGTCCAAGGCTACAGAGACAAGTCTGCGTATGAATCATTTGTGTCCTGTGTGCCCTGACAGTGAACACACAGGCAGCATTCCATCCCTATGATGAACTTCATGGCAAGATGTCTGGCAACCTCTGGACTTGGTGTTTTTGTTTGTAATCCCAATACACACGTGAAAATGTAAGTGTGTGTGTGTGTGTGTGTGTGTGTGTGTGTGTGTGAGATAGAAAAGTAGACTAGCCTGAGAACGATAACAGAGAATATAAAATCAAGAGTCATAAAAGTTGAACTTGAACCAGATTTCAACAGTATTTAAGCCATGGAATTATCCCATCATTCTTGAGGTTCTGGGTAAAGCAATGACCTTCTCAAGAGCCAGGTAAGCATAGCTAGGACCTGGGATTCTGAAAGCTTTTGTGACTTCCTGATTTATATATATGTGTGTGTGCTCTCAGTTTAGGGGTGCGGGAATACAGTGATTTCTCATCTCAGTTTCTCAAAATGTTTGCCATGGATGGAGACAGTAACCCAAGCCATGGGGTGAAAGGGAGGCTGTTAGCCCTCAGGGGACAGCCAGAGAACAGAGGTGTTTTTCCTTTCTTTAGGCACAATGAAAGCTTAATTTGAAAAGAAGGAACTCTTTCCTCTAAGAGGGAGACTGCATGGGTTTAGTGACATGGAGTTATTTAGGTTACAATGCTGTTAGCTCCTTCCAAGCAGACAGAATAGTTAATGGTAGCTGCGGAAGTGCCTTTTCTAGAAGTTCTTAACAATAGGCTATATATACATCTGGCCTTGAACACCAGAGGGATGATGTACATAGAAATAGAACGAGCAAAAACAGCATACACACAAAATGCCTTGGCGTGTCCCAGCCATTGTTACACGGGTCTGGCTAGACAGAGGCATAAAACAGCAGACAACCCCTTTCGTCCATCACCAAATCTACCTCTGCAGTGCATTCAATAATCACAGAAGAAACCAGGAAAGTGGCCCCAGAGGGATGTACCTGTACTAGGAGCTCCAGCTTCCTGTCATCAAGGAGATGTACTTGACATCGACGGCCCTCCGTCATCTGTGGGAGAAGACAAACAGTGGTCATGGGGAATCTAGGAGACAGATGACGTTCTAAAGGTCTGTGGGCTGAATTCCACCCGGCACCATCCCGTGGCTGAGGCTTCCCTCACTGGGAGTTGGCCATGTAATGCCAAGACGTGGCTGGACTGTCAGTCATTCCAGAAAACATTTATGGAGCCCTTTTTGTGTACCAACTGGTTTGATGGAACTTGTTAGACAATGGCATCTGGGCCTTCAGGTGTTTCTAACCCACGGGGTAGATGTGAAATGAATCAGCAGCACATCTGTAACATACTGCTGGATGGTGGTGTGATTCAGCCTTCATCCACTCCTTAACATCTGTCACCATGAACAATAGGCAAAGCTCAGGATCCTGTCTTCAATTCATCATTTCCCTTGAGGCCTTGCCTAACTGGCAAACCCTAGGCCAGAGAGACTGTCTCAAGAAACAAGATGTTAAGGAGTCTCCACATGGGGAATATGTATAGATTGTACTTGAACACACTTGTATAACACAAACACAAACACATCCACACCCACACACAAAGTATGGATAATGGTAAGGTATAGTAAGAGTTAGGATTTATAGACTTTGATTATTACCTTTATTTTTAAGATAATAATCAGTTTAATTTAATTGCCAAATTTTAATTTTGATAATGCCTAGATTTTATACATACTATCCCAAAATTCTGTACCAAAAAAAAAAAATGGCAGTTGGATTTTACTAGCTGGATCCAGTACCGCTGTTGAGGTTCAATGATCTGTAGGCCCCTTCCAGCTCGGTATCTTACACGACTCTACAGCAGCGGTTCTAAACCTGTGGGCTATGACTCCTTTGGGGGATAGAATGACCCTTACACACATGTCACATATCAGATACCATACATATAAGATATTTATGTTATATTTCATAACAATAACAAAATTACGGTTATGAAATGACAACAAAAGCAATTTTATGGTTTGGGGTCAGCACGGCACGAGGAGGGGATTAAAGAGCTGCAGGTCAGGAAGGTGGAGAACCACTGCTCTCCAGACTCTCTAAGGACCGCTCTTTACCCCCGTGACAGCTACAGCCACGTTAAACACGTGGAAGGATGCACTCAAGTAGACCCTAGCCTCATCACTCTTCATCAAAGTCCTTGTTCAGGGAAGACAGAAAGACACACATCTTACTCCCGTGAATTATTCCACCAACAAATCCAAAGGTGTCCTGGAATCCCATGAGAAAATGCCCTCTCTTTCTCCTTCTTCCTTCCTTCACTTCAGAGCTCTCCAGTTGGGACGCTAAGTCAGACTGCTGTTTGGACGCCCATTCGCAAAGGGCTCTTCCTTCTGAGTGCTATCAATGACTCAGCAGACAAGTTTTACATAAGTCAGATACCAATAAAGGGATTAAAACGGATTTAAAGTAGGGGGGAAACTTCAGCCTCTAGGCTTGCTATTTTGCAAATATGAGCTCAGTGGGGTGGCCTCAGACATGATATGACTCTATGAGAGTTCCTCTTCTGACTTTTGAGTCTTAGGCAACTCCAGCAACCCCATTAGCCTTGACCATAGAGACATCCTAGGCTGAAGTTATTTTAAAAGAACGAAAACCCCATCTTTATTTCAATCACTCCCTTTTTGAGTTGAATAAAAGTCATTACAACTTTAAATCAGATTGAAATCTATGCTGTTATGCCAACATTTAGAATGGATTCTTTCATCCAAAAAAGTCACGTCAGAAATGCTAACTTCCAGTGATAACAGGGCGCCTAACAGTCACGGCATAGTGACTTTGGATATGACTTTAGAACTATAGCCATCCGGCTCTCATTAGCATCATTGTGTACGAGTGTGTCCTAGGAAGGAATGCGGTACAACCATTGTGCATGCTATTTTGAAGTTCTTTAAAAAACAAAGAAAACATTCACCACAGACCTGAGAAGGTGACCTATGCCCGTGATTCCAGCAGGTCAATGGTGGAGGGAAGTACATCAGGAGTTTAAGGCCAATCTGTGCTATGTAGCGATACGTAATGACACCGAGGCCAGCCTGGGGTACGTGAGACCCACTCTCAAACAAAAACAAAAAAGCAAAACAGAACAAATAAAAATAAATTGATCAGGAAGTTTAAAGTCATCTTTGGCCCTATATCAAGTTCTGGGCCAGCCTGTGCTACATAACAGCCTAACTCAAAAGTGAAGAGGGCAAGAGAAATTTTGCAGAGGAAATGCTGTTTGGCCTTTCCACCTCTCCAATGTTAAGCTTAGCTTTATTCCATGGTAAAAGTCTAAATATATACACAAGATTTGGGGTATTTAATCACACCCTAATAAATTTTATGAAAACAAATGGGTACCTGAAAATCACTGTAGCAAATATGGTTGGCGTTTGTTTTGAGAAAGGGTCTCACTGTGTAGCCCAAGCTGGCATGAAACTCGTTATATAGATCAGGCTGGCCTATAACTCAGAGAGAGTCTGCCTGTGCCTCTGCAGAATTTGGATTAAAGGCATGTGCCCCCAGTTATAAAAAGGAAGAAGTCTGTCACTTTATCAAAATATACCATTGTACATAAGGTTCAGACTTAAAAGTTTACCTCTCAGATGTCTTCGTCTGAAAAATAAAATTGCCACTAAAATTAAATAACATTGTTTTTTCTTCTTGCTATGTTGAGTAACTATGTATTGAGATGTTGATGTATTATTTATTGCCAGTTTGCTCCACGCCTCCCTTGCAGAAAGCAAAATAACCCCACCAAAGTTGCCGCGGAGAGGAGTCGGAACAGAGCTCTTTGAGTCATGATGGAAGGCACAGCTCTCCTCTGAGAGCACCACTGTGGTTCATGTCTCAAAAGGGCACCTGTTCATTGTCTCCTTCTCAAGTAAGATCGGAGCACCCAGTTTTCATCATCAGTTCAAAGCAGGCTCACCCTTGTGGGTGCACTCAAAGAGAAGACATCTGTAGTATTGTTTGGCTTGCTAGGCACCCAGAATTTTTTCCCAGCCCTCACAATTGTAAAATAATTCCCCCCCCCACCCCGCTTACAGCTGCACAGGCACAATGGGAGCCCTGGGAATCACCCTCAAAGGAAACCCTCTGGAGAGCGAGGCTGAGCACAGACGTCAGCTGGCTCCGGTTCTAACCATAAATCACTTTCCTGCCTACACCTTCTAGAGTAACGTGGGCATGCCAAGTACTCTGTCATTTTTAGGCATACTTGAAGAAGTGTTATTTTGAAAGTGAGGCATCCAACGTTGCTGATAGGACACACGTGAACTCATGAAGACCAGGAAAAGGTAATATAGTCAGATATGAAATGATCTGTGTATGATAAAGTTGCCAATAAAACCGTCCTGCACAGGGGCAGGGATCAGGAGAATAGCGGATGATATATGAGGACACAGGAGGTGGAAAGCTTCTGGCTTAGGGATGGGGCCTCTCTACCTGCCCCAGCTGTGTACTGTACACATTTAACAACTTGTTAAAAAAAATAACAGCAGCAAAACAATGACACAATGAAACTCATTACTTTGTATGCTAACCTGAAAGTATCAATATTAAAAAAAAAAACAGTTAAAAGGTGGTTCAAAAAAATGAAGGCGTTAGAGATTAGTCACACGGAATAGAGCAGACAAGACTGCTCCTCAGCCAATCAGTTTAATAGTGCCTATTTTAACACAAACCCAAGTACTTTAGAGGGCTGGGGAGATGGCTGTTTATAAAGTGCTTGCCTTGCAAATATAAGAGACTGAGTTTCATCCCCAGAACCCATGGGAAAGATGCCATTAAAAAGCCCTTCCGATGACCTTCCAGGACCTAGGGGATAGTTCTCACCCAATGGTCACACAGATGACCCTAATTAAATGGGTCACAAAACAAAACCCAAGGTCATAAGTCTGGGGAAGGGATTGGTAGGATGGTGGGTGGGTGGATGGGGATGGGAGGAGAGAAAGGAGTGAAGAGTCATCAGATCTCATTCTAGGCATATATGAAATTGCCAGATAACAAAATTAACCAACAGGGAAGAACAAACCTTCCGGGGATTGAACTTAGGGTGTCAGGCTTCGAGGCAGGTGCCTTTACCTGCTGAGCCATCATCTCACCATCCCCTCCCTTTTGCTTTAGTCACCCTATCTACTGCACTCTTTTCCCACTTTCTTGTCTTCCAATTAATGACTCATTGGATGCACGCGTCCAGGAGAGCTCTACGGAAATGGTGCCTCTTTCACGGTTCCTACCATGCTATGTGTGACGCACTTTTGTGAACAGTAACTCAACCTAGAGAACGCAGCACATCCTGAACTTAGTTTTGAAAAATGGTCTCTGGTTTAAAATGAAAACTAAAAACCCAGTCAACCAGGGGCTGCAGAGTTAGGTCAGCTGATAGAGTGCCTCCTGCCCAACACACAGCAGCCCTGGGTTCAAGTTCCAGCACTAAAAAGGACTGGGCATGGTTGTGAACACTACTTCTAATCCCAATATGTGGGAAGCAGAGGCAGAAGGATCGGATGCTATGGTCATTCCTGGCTACATAGCAAGTTTGAGGCCAGCCCGGCTTATACCTTCTATTTCTCTTAAGAAAAATTCAACTAATAATACATGTCATTATAGTTTCTCAGTTTTCTGAAGCTAGTTAACACTGAAAGAATTATAGAGTCTGGGGGGAGAGGAAGAGGATGTGCAAGGAAAGGCCAGCTGCTCAGGCACAAGCTTGCAAATCATGTTAACCTAGTGACTACTGTCTGTCTAAGTCTCTTTACTAAAACCAAAGAGAGTTACCAAGGTTTGATTCATTTGCATTTTTGAGATCAGTTGATGAGACACTAATATGAGAAATATTAATGACTTGTGAGAACTGCATAAAATAGGAATCAGTATTCCTGACAATGTTTTATTTAGGAAATTGCCAATAGTCTTGAAACAACCTTAAACACGGTCCCTGAGACCTTTACCACCAAATGGGGAAGTTGGAGTCCAACAGCATGGATCTGAGACTGGAAGTAAAAATG